GTTTCAGTTGTAAAACTAATGTCGGTTTCACTACTTTGTTTTGTGATTAATTTAGTTTAATAAGACAAATGAATTATGTTAGATGAAATTATTAGCCATCAGAGTATAGACTCAACTCCATGTTCAGTGTGACAGGACAGGTTTAAGACTCTGGGGTCAGTCAGCAGGCCAAGATGTCACAACATTGTCTAACTGGTATGTCTGAAATGTTATTATTGACATTCTGAGGCTGGACTGCTGGTAAAATCTGAGAGAATCCTTTAGACCGAATGGAGAATGGCACTTATACTATACTCATATAATCATCTGAGATGAATAAGTGTCTTCTAAACCACAGTTTTTCTGAAATGCTACCTTTCTCTTCTATTATTTCCCTGTGCTTTGCAGCATCAATAGTACTCTGACCTGGAACATCTTAGAGTTGGTTACTCCAAGAAGACTTTGATCCTGCTGACTTTTAGTGTATGCAAGTGTTTGTATACTCGTATACCTGTTGAGCATCAGGTCCGCTAGTGTTTTTGGAAAAAGAGACAAATGCTAGGACCTCAATGTTTCAATTTTCCCACCTGGGCATATTTCAGATTCACGTTTCTACCCACAAACCTTTTCATGAACTAAGAGATTTAGGGCTGTAAAGTCTACCAATTTACCCATCAATTCCATCCAGTTGTTGGTTAATTTCATCAGGAGGAAAGTACCAAGCGCTAATGGGGTTGTTCAGAGCGCCTCTATTTCACAGGTAACGGCTTGTTTTCAGAGAACACCCCCTTTGTTTTCACTATTTTGGTTTAGCCCAACACGCTAGAGACAGATTGAAGTAAGTTATCGAAAGTCAACGTCCGAACATGTGTGCACCTGCTCTACTGTGCACAGCTCTGTGGAACCAGCCTATGATGGCGCTTTTTGCTGCTATTTAAAGGCAGCTTGGCTTCTGCTTCAGCCTGCTGGAAAGAGAGATGACCCTATCCTCTTGTGTTTTTCCCCCCCATCAGGCTTTTTCCAGAAGAACAACTCCCTTCTGCAGGAGGCGATAATCAAGCAACAGCAACACCTGCTGGGCGCAGATAGATCCAAATACAGTGTTGAGCTGCTGAAAAAAGGCCACGATGACCCCCAGCAATACGGTAAGCTGAACGGCATGGAAGTGGTGCTCTGATGCTCACTTTCATATCAGCAAGTTGTAGTTTTTCATATGAAATTAACCTCCTTGGGGATCCCCAATGGCTTTCCAAACAGTGTTCAACACCTGGTTTTTCCTCATGTTGATAAAATCACAAATGTAAGGAACCAAGTTATGTTTCCTGTGTCATTAGTTCTTCTGTATTTTATTTTCTATCTGCTTTTCATTTAGTGACAAAACAGTTAAACAAGGGTACTTGTTGCTCTTCACTCCTCAGTCCCACAGACATCTAGGCAAGTGGATGTCTGGGAGTCCTGTTGTTCTAACCCCCCAAACTGTCTGCCAGCTGGTTTAGTGAATAGAGAAGCAGTGTTACACTGTGTTTAGAACACAGTCGGGTCAAAATGTCAGTCCTCAAGCTGTCAACGGGATTGAAATATCCATCCATCGTAACTGCTTATTCCCTAATGGCGTTGCGGGGGGACTGGAGCCTATCCCAGTAGTCAATGGGCGAGAGACGGGGTCCGCCAGTCCATCACAGGGACACACAAGGACCAACAACCACGCACACTCACACTAAGGGCAATTTGGAATGTCCAATCAACCTAACATGCAGGATTTTGGACAGTGAGAGGAACCCGGAGAACCCGAAGAGCACCCACAGACACAGGAGAACATGCAGACTCCACCCAGAAAGGTCCCTGTTCCTCCAGGGATCTTTTATGTGCCATCCTGCTTTGGCCTGCTGTAGGTCCACTCAACATCCCATTTGAATGCTCATCGATGTTTACCTCTAAAGCCAGAAATAAATCCCAGAAAAAAATAAGGACTTCATTTTTCTAATCTGATCTCAGGTCCAGACCCAAGAAGTGATGTTCACATGTGACATCTGTACACTGACAGACCATCTTCCCCTTCCCATGTCGACATGGAGACAGATGCTTCTTTCGAGCCACAGACTCAGTTGTGGTCTCTATGTTCGAGTCTTTTTGTTTTAATCAAACCAGTAGAAAAAAGAAAGCCAACGGGCTCTGGTTGCTCTGCTGTGTGAATAATACATGGCTCGTTGGACCCTCTGGCCCATCTGATACTGGCCAGAGAGCTTTTCACACCATACCTTAAAGTGAAATGTTCAGTCATGCCATGGTCGTGACTGTGTGTGTGTGTGTGTGTGTGTGTGTGTGTGTGTGTCAGTTGTGTCCTGCAGGCCCACGGTGAAGGTCTTGTCCCCAGAGGACGGGAAGCACAGCATTGTCCAGGCAGCCAGGCAGCTCTGCCACTCTGTGGAGACCAAGCAGAGGAGCTCCAGGGACATCGACGTCTCCATGCTAGATGTCCTCCTCAGAGGTACTGGGGGAGCACTCCTATGGTACCAGTCAGACATTTGGACCGGCCTGTTGGCTAGCTGGTTCTGATGTCTGGTTTTATAGGTTAACCTGTACTGAACCACACAGAAGATAGAAATATTTTCTCCATAATTTCAAAGTGATAACTGCATTTGTTCTTGTTTCAGAGTCGAAGAATATTCCAGACCCAGAGCTAGTGGTGAAGTTTGGTCCTGTAAATAGCACCTTGGGTTTCCTGCCCTGGCACATCAGACTCACCGAGTTCATGTAAGGCTTCATACCATACCTAACACAACATGCTCCCCAGCTCCTGGTGCAGTCTATGTTCATCTCCCGCCTTGACTATTGTAACGCCCTCCTGACTGGTCTCCCAGCCTGTACAGTAAAACCTTTACAAATGATCCAGATCGCGGCGGCGCGTCTGGTCTTCAATCAGCCCAAAAAATCTCACGTCACCCCTCTGTTCATTGAACTCCACTGGTTACCTCTGGCTGCCCGTATCAAATTCAAGTCCCTGATGCTAGCCTACAAAGTGCTTAAGGGTACGGCTCCCATCTACTTGAATCCTGTTGCAAAATCTTATGTCACAGCTTGATCACTCCGGTCATCAATGGATTGTCGTCTAACAGTGCCTTCACCACGCTTAAGACAATCCAGACCGTTTAATGTGTCGTTCCAAGATGGTGGAACGACCTACCAAGCGCTACAAGAACAGCAGAGTCCACCCCCCCTTTTCAAAGAGCATCTCCTATCCGAACCCTAACCCGTACCTCTACCCCCCCACAGCTCCTCCTGTAGTCCCTCTATCTCTATCTCACCACTGACTCTGATCAGTGTTTCTCCTCTGTATAGCTTATTGTCATAGTGATGATAAATGTAATATGTCTACTCTGTACGTCGCTTTGGATAAAGGCGTCTGCTAAATGCATAAACATAAACACATATTTAATCAGGGCTCATGCCCACTCAGTCAGATGGCTGAATCCCAGACAGCCCCAACAGTTCTCCAGAGCTCCGAAACACATTGAAAGCAATGTGGTTTATATACCCGTTACAGCATACAAAGACCAATAACAATGCTTTGATATGGACACAGGCTTTCACACAAGCGTTCTGGTTACTCTGAACATGAAGAGAAAATAATAAAAACTCCAGTTTTCCAGGTCAGACTGGTGGACATCAGGGGCACTGCGGAGCTGTGGCTGTGATGAAGCTGTTGACATGTGTTCTGCTCTCTCTCCCCAGCTCCCTGCCGTCCCACAGAAAGGTGTCGTACGAGGACTTGTTTGGTGCCCTGCAGCGCTACAGTGCCTGTCAGCAGCGCCTCGGACAGTGATGGGCGGCAGGGATCGCAGAAGAAGATCACCCCCTCTCCTCTTGCTGTATCTCTCACTCCTGCCTCCTGTTGGACTAAAGCACTGAGACATCTCACAGATGTGCAAAGCAGGAAACGTAACGTGGTTGGCACAGGGCTCACAACTGGTTGAACGATGTTGTATTCCAACATTTATGGAATGTGCTCTGTAACTCCACGAGGAGACTGCCTGCCCTTCACTCTTACTGTTTACTGCCCTCACCCAGCAAAGAGGCAGTGTGTCGGCCCACACCGAGGCATGCTGGGAGATACCGCCGCCTCCTCGCGGAAACCCAGCTGTGAGTCAAAGTAGTCAAAAGGTGTAAATATGAACGATTGGTGTTGCATTGTGTGCCTCCATCTTCCACTCGTACTCGTGTGAGTGTTTTCTGTTTACTGAGCAGGAGTGAAATCTAAAAGGAAAAAGGGCACAGTATGTCCTCAGACATTCCCAAAGGAAACAGATCCACCTGCTGTGTCCGGGATTAAGACTGACCGAATCCACTGGCCAAACCCCAACAGCCCGTCCTAACTGATGATTTGTTCTGTTCTGCCCATGTCTTTAAAAGAGGAATCTTCATGAATAGAGGTTTTTGAAGGCTAAGACAAATGTTCAGAGGGTTCATTCTGAATAAATAAAAGCTTTGATCCGCGTAAAATAAAGACAGTGCTCTGACCTAGGTTGTCTTTGTGTGCTGTTGGCATCACTTTACCTGTCTGTATATGTAGACCTTGACCTAATGATAAAAAAAGAGTTCTGATCAGCGTATTCTCTTTTCAAAGCTTGTTCTTTTATTTTGGATCTAAACCGATTGCATGTATGAAACGCCATTTTAACATTTTATTCAATAGGAGTGTTCAAATTCTAAGCCAATGTACTGTGCTGTTTTGGCATTCGGTTGATCTAGTTATACTCACTGCACTAGTCTACCTGGTGCTGTTTATGATTTAAAAATATATATTTCAGAAACGTTTGCATCTTAATTAAAAAAACACTTGTACCACATCAGGTTTCTAGTCCCCTCTGGTACCTATCCCACTGGGCAAGAGGTGAGGCACACCCTGGCAGGTCACCAGTCACAAAATCATGTAGAAATATGGGCTAAACAAAATGACAGTTTAAACACGGTACACCACAAGACTTCAACAGCTGGATGGATATGTAAGGCAAGCCAAGTCATAAAATTGACTAATTTAATTACTTAAAAATTGAAGGTTGCAGATGAAATGCATTCAGTTTCCATATGGACAATTAAACAGAACCATTTTCAGCATGGATTGAAAGATTGTCTCACCTCTTCAGGAAGACTGACCCAAATTTGAGGAGAATTAAACTGTAATGAAGCCTCTCCTTGTTTAGTTCTCTCTTTGGGCACCACCAAGAGACCATATGGCTCTAACATGTCCGAAATGTATTTCAGCGCTTGACCATGAAGAAACTTGAACACATCAGAGCTGTTTTAGAGTTTGTTCATTGAGCTACAGGAAGCCAGAGCAGAGAGCTGAGAACTGGACTGATGTGGTGGTATTTCCTGGTTCTGGTCAGAACTCTAGCAGAAACATTCTGGATGTTCTACAGCTGGATCACATCTGGTTTAGAGCCCAGTGAGCAGCTGTTCTGGTCTGGTTTAGACTCTATTCCTCTGATTCTGGATGTTTTTGAATGGAATTGAATGGAATGGAGCTGTTAAAGCTCAGGTCTAAGTCCAGTATTACCCCAAGATTTTTTAGTTCCAGAAAGAATGTCTGAATGTGGCTAATGATATTTTCTCTTAGTTTCTGTGGGCTGCAGACAATGACTTCAGTTTTGTCTGGGTTTACCTGGAGAAAGTTGTTCTGCATCCATGAACTGATCTGTTCGACACAAAGGCCCTTGTTCTCCTGCTGTCAGTGACACGTAGATCTGAGTGTGAACAGATTATGGCTGCGTATTAGCTGGCCCAATGGGAGCACGTACAGATTGAACAAAAGGGGTCCAAGGATTGAACCCTGGGGAACCCCACAGATAAGACCCATTTGGTCTGAGACTCAGTCCCCAATTTGAACAAAGTAACACCTTTCTTTCAAGTAGAACTAAACCAGTTTAAAACTGTACCAGATTCCCACCCAGTCCTCTAACTTCTGTATTAAAATGGTCACATGGTCCACTGTGTCAAAGGCAGCGCTCAGGTCCAGCAGAACTGAGACATTGCCTGCGGCTGAGTTCAGGCGGATGTCATTGGTCACATTGATCAGAGCTGTCTCAGTGCTGTGGTGGGACCTAAAGCCTGACTGGAACATTGTTACACAGGAGAAAGCTGTTGATAAAGAACTTTTCCTAAGAACGCAAGGTTTGATATGGGCTGGTAGTTGTTCAGTACTGTGGTAGCAAGACTGCCTTTTTTATGGCCTTTGGAAATGTTCCTGTCTGAAGTGAGATGTTGGCTAGATGAGTGAGTTGTGGTGGTAACAAACTGTTCGAGACATGCTTGATACCTGAGCATTTCCAAACAGTGTCCCTGTGTTGTCATTCAAGAGTCTTCTTCGAACAACTGTAGACCAAACTGTTTGGTGGCAGCCGTCTCATCCCAAGCCCTGCATACCCAAGTATGATAGGAACACACTCACACTTCTGATGCCACCAGAAGATAATCCAGTTGGTACTTTGTATTTAAATCACAGGCTTGTTCTTTTTCTGTAAATATTGATTCAAGTTCTGTCAATACATGCATGTGTA